GTAGTCTTATACGGCGAGTATATAACAAACTCTGTATTTTGAGTGGAAATGTTAGGGGGTCGTCTTATACGCCCAGTCGTTTTATACGCCGGCAAGTACGGTAATATCTAGGTTCATTTGCTAGTTCTATTTTTCATTATAAGTATATATATAGGTATTCTGGTTTACCAGCAAGTCTCCTGTGAATTCCTGCTACACCTATGGGCCATCACTGCAGGAGAAACTGACAAAATGGAGTTTCTGAACAAGCAAAGCAGAAGTCTGTGGCCATCCAGATATGGTTTGTTTTAAGAAGGACTTTCCTCTGCAATATTTTTTCTTTGCTTTTTAGGCAGAAATGGCTTTCAATTTAGTGATTGATTTAATCTACATGATTCCTCCTTGACCTTCCACTGTGGAGTTGCGGACACAAAAGGGGCCACAGGTTAAACCTGACAAACATAGGAGACTAAAACTAAGATGGCGTGAACACACACACACACACACATTTTTAGCTAAGTGGGCCATGGTGGGAAGTCACATCTTCAGCTTCCCCATTAAGTTAATCTGTCCCTTTTCAGTGGGCATGTTCTTTGTCTTTTTGTACCTGAGATAACATCTTTAATCCTTTTTTCTTGGACCAGAGCTGGAAACTGCAAAATTCCTCATTATCATGCTTGTCTCCTGATTACCATCTCTATGTGCTGCAAAAAGCTAACTGTTATCTATCCTGCATCCACCTATGTAAAACAAGTACCTGTCTCTCCAATTTACTTTTTTTGTTTTTTAAGATTTTTTTTTTTTAATTGGGGAATTGGAGGATGGGATCAGTGCTGGGGAATTGGGGGAAGGGGAACAGACAAGTTGCTGTTGTTTTGTTCTTCAGTCTAGTTGTGGAGGACGCTGCTTTACTGGCCCAAGCCGGCACCATCATTGCGCTCTTCCCGGGCGAGGCAGATCAGTCGCCGGCTTCTGGACGGCCGCTCACTGCGGCTGCTGGCCGCTCACGCTTGCTGCTGGCAACACACAGTAGCCCATGGCAACCCACTGCAGCAGGGACTGCAGCCTACGCTGTCGCCTGCGACTCATGGCAGCCCAGCTCCAAGTTGAGCTATTGTTCAGCATCTTAGCTGTAGAGGGCAGCGTCACTGACCCTCATATGTGGGATCCGAACCGGGGTCCTCTGGCGTCCAAGCCAGCTCCCAACCATCGCGCCACTCGGCAGGCCCTCTTCAATTTACTTTTATCCAATCCCAGAGGTTTCCCCGTTTTGCTCTTTCCCACCCGCTTAATCTACCACCAAATGGATTTCATGTAACCTTCCTCCTTTGATTTTATGTATAAAATAAGCTGTAAAACTGCCATTCTTTGGAGCATTTTCTCAATCCGTTGAGATTTTGCTTCCGGGCAACTGTCGACAGACAGTTTGGCTCAAATAAACTCTTATAAGTTTCCTCTTAGGCTGGTTATTTTTCGTAAACAGTGTTAGGCATACATTAAATGTATTTTCTCTTTTAGTTATTCATATTTTTTCCTAACAAATGTCTGAATCTTATTTTATTGGGTTGTCAGAAAAGTTGTGATGTATTTTTTTCTACGTTTTTCGTTGCAAAAATGCGTCATGACTTTTCCGACAACCCAATAGTTTCTTTTTCTAAAATAATGTGATTTGGTGCTGGATTTTTTTCCTTTCTTTTCAGCCAAATGTTATATTGTCATCACAAGGCTTACACACATGAATCTCCTAAACCCATGTACATTCAATATTACATATGGGACCAGAGGTAGTAAGAATAACATCCTGGTATCTGATAAAACTGTAAAAAATAGAACCTTCTACAGTGCTTTCACTCTTGCTTCAATCTATCCTCCATACCAGCAGCCAGAGTGATCTTTTTAAAACAAATCACATTGTGTCACCCTCCTGCTCCAAATCACTCATGGCTTCCCATCACATTTCAAGTAACATCCCAAGTTACCAGCCCTACAAGTCCATACGTGACTATTTTATTTTTTTATTTTCTAACATACTCTCTCACTCTGCTCCAGTCACACTGGCCTCCCTGAGGTTTCTCAGTCCTGCCAAATGTACTCCTTCCTCAAGGTCTTTGCACTATACAGGAGAATGCTTTTCCTTTCAAATACTCATGGCTCATGCCCTCATTTTAATGAAGGTTCTGCTCAAATGTCACCTCTGGAAGGCCTTCTCTGGTCACCTTAAACTGTCTTTCTCCCTTTTCCTTACCTTTTGGGCTTCGTAGCACTTGTCACTACCTAATATAATCTTGCTTATGTACTTAGCATAAGCTCAAAAAGAACTTTGTGTTGTTTATCCCTCTTTCCCTAGCATCTGCAGTAGTGCCTGACATACAGTAGGTATTCAATAAATATTTGGAAGTAAATGAATATTGAATCCATGTCCCCCTGTCCTCTTGGTCTCATTTTGGGACACAGAAGCAGAAGGTTCACCAGTAAAT